AAGCATCGTGGTAAATATATAGATTTCTCCCTTCAGTACAATTTAGTATTTTAAAATATAAATGTTCTTCAGATGCTTTTATATTTTAACTTATTAATTCTCTTGCATTACATTCACGGATCTTTCCATAATTACACTGAAAACTTCTATCTTCCACTAAGTCATATTGCTGCAGTGACCATTTCTTTAATTTCAGACTGGTCTTTAGAAAATGAGCAGTCATAACCAGTATTAAATTTAAACTCAAAGCCAGCAAATATTTATTGAGCACCTACTATGTGCTAGATACTTACCTAGGGTTTTTTTAGGGTGCTTTAAACAATTTATTTAACTGAAATCCCATATATTGACTTCCATTTATTTTGATACATCTTAAAACTAAGTGTAAATAAGGTTCAAATAGTATTAATTGATAGTGTGAAATAGGAAGAAAATTGGGTAAGGGGGAAGTGGGAAGGACAGGGGAGGGGAGGGGAAAGAAGGGAAAATAAAAAAACATGAAAAAAGGAAAAAATGGACACAAAGCCTTTGTAAATAGGAAACGGTAAAGGGTGTCAAGGGAGGGAAGGGGTCTGGGGAAAAATAAGAACCAAGACATAATATGTATAGCTAGAAGATCCCAGTGATAAATAACTATTGTTTGCTTTAAATGTACCAATAAACTTAATGGGGAAATTTTTTTTAAAAAAATAAAATATTTTGATACATCTTGTCCCAAACGTGATTCAGAGGATTTTCAAGCCAATACAAATATTTCATAAATATGTGGCCATTTGGGTATACATTTGCCCGATACCTCACATCTTTCAGCGAGAAAACACTGAAGAGTAAAGACCTGACACAAGTAACTGGGTATAACGAGAATCTGCTCCAAATATTGTTTCTCCGAGGTAAAGGCACCACACACCTGTTCAATGAAGAAAACCATCCTTACAACACAGGATGATTTTTTATTTTTTAAGTTGGGTTTAGGGCACTCGGCTGCCAATGAGGAGCTTCATGGCAGAGCTACACCCCCAGCTTATGCCGTGAATCCATAGGGAACAGGTTCCAAAGACCCAGGCTCCTTCCCGTGGGTTCTCAGGAAGTGCGCTTCTCTGGGCGGGGCGGGCCGGCGCTGCAGCTGAGCCCAGGTCCCTTGCTCTTTGGCTTCCCCTTCTTTTCCTGATCATTTTCCTTGACACGTTTCAGGAAGCTATCTCGACTCTTTGAGTGTTTAACATGCTCAGTAGGCACATTAATCCTCTTGGCAAATATCTTGCCCTTAACTTGCTTGTTTACAACAATGCAACAGCATGCTGGTCACACCGTAGACTCTTCCAGTTTTGCCATGGTAACCTGTGTGTGGCATTCCTTTGTGAACAGTACCCATTCCCTTGATGTCTACAGTATCACCTTTTTGTAGATTCGCATGGACGTGGCCAAAGGAACAGCCCCATGTTTTCTAAAAGGCCTAGAGAACACACACCGGGTTCCCCTCCAGGACACGTTTCAAGAAGCTGTCTCGACTCTTTGGGTGTTTAACGTGCTCAGTAGGCACATTAATCCTCTTGGCAAACATCTTGCCCTTAACTTGCTTGTTTACAACAATGCCAACAGTATGCTGGTCACACCGTAGACTCTTCCAGTTTTGCCATGGTAACCTGTGTGTGGCATTCCTTTTTGAACAGTACCCATTCCCTTGATGTCTAGAGTATCACCTTTTTGTAGATTCGCATGGATGTGGCCAAAGGAACAGCCCCATGTTTTCTAAAAGGCCTAGAGAACACACACCGGGTTCCCCTCCTCTTTCCCTTTGTGTTCGTCATTTTGGCAAATTTCTGGAAGATGGCGGTTCCGGCGGCAAGGCTTACCTAGGTTTTGAAGACACCGCCTAGACCAAACACTCAAGTATCCCTGCGCTCGTGGAGCTTACATTCTACTGAGGAGCAGTGAAGGAGAAAACGAATACGCAAGGTGCATAGCACGTCCCGCGGTGGTTACTGCTGTGCAGAAAAACAAACCAGGGCAAAGAGAAGAGAACGCTGAAGAAGAAAGGGGTTTGGGGTTTTACACACGCTTGGCTGGATGCCGCCCTAATATGCCACCTTGCACAGACCCAGAGGAGGTGCACAGGCACGACAGGCAGGGGGCTGCTGAAAGAGCGTTACAGGCAGAGGGCCGGGCCCAGAGGAGCAACGCGAGATCCAGGACATTTGCCACGGTCCTCTCAAAATTTGCCCAGACAGGGACAAACCCTCAGAAGCAAAGTAAAGTAATTCCATCTCTGCCAACCACTTGTTTCTCCCTTTGAACTCATCATATTATCACGTAAGGGAAAGGAAAGACCGATAGAAAACAGGCTAAGAAATTCTCATAATTTTCAAACTGGGGAATTCATCCCAAGGAAGAAGTACTAAAAAGGATATTTGCATTATGAAAAAAATGTAGAAAAGGGATAGGAAAGATTTCATGCGACATGTAGGCAGAAGTACAGGAAGCAGGTATGGTTTAGGGCACAGTCTTCATTATTTTGTACATAAAGTGATGTGATTGAGAGAGCAAAGTACAAGTGACAGTCATTCTGCAACCAGATAGCGTTAATATTGTTATGAACTATGAGATTTAATTACTCAGGCAATAGCTAGAGTCTACCTGCTTGATAAAGCTCATATCCTCCTGGGGGAGAGAACCAGAATATATTTAATGCAGGGTGTACGGTGCATTAATGGATGTACACCGCTACTGCAGCTTATGGTATGCTCCGAAGACACAGCTTTCTGAAAAATCTGAAAAGAGCTGTATTAAGGGGAAGAATGCAATAAAGCCCTTTGTTTTAAAAAGGATTGACATATAATAGTAATTTAAGTGTAACAATATTAGACAATAGGGAGTTTAAAATACATTATAATTAAAATATTAATGAAAATAATTAACATAGTATTCTGGCTTGGATTCCTGTTCTTACTTTCCTAGAATAAAATCTAGTATATATGAACTTCCTTTGGACTGTAAGTATGAAGACTCGGAATTCACACAGTAAAGGAGGAATTTCTTAGACTGACAAGTTCTTTGTACACCATGCTTTATTCCAGTATTGGCAGGTTTCCGTGTGCTTTGCTATAAAAAATATAAAAATATGTTTATAAGAAAACAATTCATTGATTTAAGTAGTCATTCAAAATAACCTTGACTTCGTAGAGAAATGTCATGCCAGCCTCGGAATGGTATTTTTTGCTTCATTATCAGATAAACTTGAGTTGCCTCACTTCCATGCTCCCTTCACTAAAACTTAGGAACTCTTTACAGATTTACGAACTCCTAGGAGATTATAAAGATTCTCTACCTTGTACAGAGTTATAGGAAATAATGCATTTTATGGTTACAATATGCTTTATGAAAATAAATATTATCTCAGCTCACTTTACAGACTCTGAATATGCTCTTTGTTCTTTTAAGTATCCCATATCAGATGAAATTCCTCTTTCTCAGCTCCCATAACTTTTGTGCATAATATTTCTGACATCTGGAGAAAAATCTCTGGATATGGAATTGAAATAGGCTAGGCCCATCAACTAGTCAAAAGCGCCACCTACTGGCCGGTCTTTGAATCTACTTTTCAGTTCACCCAAGCCTTGCTTGGCTGTGGAAAGACTCCATCCTTCACAACAGTAAAAACCACTGAACCACTGAACTTACACTGCAGTGGAGAGGTTGTATGCACAGGCCTGGCACAGAAGTCATTTACACTGTGGCTATATGCAAGCAAAGTTTTGGGATTCCTAACTATATTTTTGGTATGAACAAAATGCATCATCACAGGGTCTTTTGGCTGCTGCTGTTCCGATGTTGAATTTTTTTTACATGGGGCTGCAATGTCTTTCTCTGCACTCTCAGAACTAACTGAAAGCGCTGAACATATGGCCATGTGGAGGTAGGAGGATTCTTTAAGTCTACGACACATTTTCTGACCAGCAGTTCACATTCCATTTGGTTGTTTTGGGGTTTTTGCTTTTTTTGTTTTTGCTTTGTTTTAATAAAGCTTTAGTTTTCTGCCTATATACCTAGGAAAATGGCAAAGCACCTCTATTTTTGTTTCCACATAAAAAATCACCTACAAAATTTTCTAAGACAGACAATAATATTTTACAGCTGATGGGTGGCTAAATTTTCAACAGTTTCTTTCAAATTGCATTAGACTTGATGAGCTTTGATATTACAAATTATTTTATGTGGCTAAATTTTATTCCTTACATTTTTTTCCCTATTTGAGGGGTATTTTTCTTGTCAGATTTTGTCTATGCACAAAAGGCCCATACTTTAGTCACTGAATGTGTTATCAAGTTCTATGACTTTCTTTACTATAAAATTCTAACTACATTTGCTAGGGATAAAACAGTTTACCATGAGTAGGTAGTATTTATTATTTAAATACAAATAAATCAGAAATAAATAAATAAAACTTCAGGGCGGTTATAAGTTGTACTCTTGGTGAAACTTCCTTTAAAGCGAGAAGTCATGTTACTTAGGAAGACAGACTAATTTTAAACTATTATTTTTAATAAATAATGATATTTATATTTTATGAAAAAGACTTCAATATGTTTGGTGATATTGAACAACAGGAAAATGTCTGAAATTTTTAACCTGCCTTTTACCTGAATTTTTATGGAAACTTGAGCTTAAAATCTAATAGCATCTGTTTTTCTTCCTTTGCTGAACAGTTGTCTCCATTTTTCAAGCATAAGGGCTGTGACATCTCATGTATTTTGAGTAAAAATTAAAATTGTTTTACAAGTTCATTTGAATGTGACTACTGTCTGTCTTTATTGTCCTCAGAAGTTCAAAGTTATTGTGAAATAAATTCACTATCCACTTTTTTCATTAAAATTTGAATTTGACATATAAAAAAACAAAACAAAACAAAATCCCCACTTCCAGTAACCAGACTTAAAGCAAATATTCTTTCAACAAAAATACATCCTCTCTAGGGTGAACCAAAAATATCCAAGTGTACAAACCTGCCAATAAAATCATCTCTTTTCCCGGCATCTTTGTCCCAGGTAGTAATGTCAATGATCCCTCCTCTTTCTTCAAAGAGATGAAAATCAAATTGTTCCCTCCATTGAGGGTTCAGAGTTTTTGGCATAATCTGGAAAACAAAAATGTGACCGTTGTCTCATCAACTGCAGCCTTTTGAAACACTAATTTGAGATACTAAGTCAAACTTTTGTTAACATCCAAGAAAATCATATTAAGTGTGCTATTTGAACTAAAGTTTCCAGATACGTGAAACTAGTTAGGTTTCTAGCAACTTTACTGCTGAATGCAGCGTAAAGGATGTGTCCTTTCAAATGAAATGTCACTCCTTGATTATCTTATATAACAGGCAGGAAATAGGAAATATATAAACAGTCTATAAATAAAATAGCTCATTCAGGTACTAGCATGTATTCTATGTAATCACTGACAGATAAAGAAATAACTCAGTGATTTTATAATAGAAAAAAAGCAGGACTTCCAAGGTTTATTTTTTTCCTTTCACATGCACTGGAATTTAACTGAGTACATGAAAAAACAGACAATAAAATTGTGTGGGAGCCGGAAAGAAAAGCAAATAGCTTTGAGTGGTCAGGCAAAATTTAATACTAGAACTGTAGCACTGATGCACCCACATTTTAACATACAGAGAAATCGAGTGTGATCTTCCCATTAAACATGCAAGAAAGATATCTGAAGCACAATTTTACAGCTTCAAGTAGAATCAACAAAGCGATTCATACAGATATGTTTTAAAATTCCATTCACCATTTGGCTAAAACCCACTCATATTTCTATGTTTTGTTTTTAAGCAGGTGAGTGTCCAGCGACCTTTTCTCTTTTTAAACAGATGACCGACAGCTCTTTACATGTAAAGTGTTTGGAAACAATGACGTATGTTTCGTGCAAAGGCAGTACGACTGAATCACAGTTTTAAAAGTTCACAATCGGAAATGAATCAGCAATAGATCATGACAGAAAGAGCAAAGAGAAACAGGCATCTATAGCTGGGTTTCCTGTTTCATACCTGAAGAACAGAGCTGCAAATACAATGTCTCAAGCCTAGTACTGCACAGAAAGGAGTGTTAATGGGGAGAACACAAATGCAGTGGTCACAGATGCCTTTTCATGGAAGAGGGACTGCTTTAAAATCGGTTATGACGCTGCTTTGAGAACAGAAGGAGATGGCACGGGCGAACGCTGTGATAATTTACATGTCTTACAGGTGGGCTCAGATAAATTATTACGGTATTTTGGGACATGGCATGTCTTCTTTACATGGCCACAACAAACTCACTTTTCTTTTTTTTTGTTTGCTTCTTTTAGGATTTTCTTCCCTATATGACTTCCTTTGTTCAGGTCAGAAATGGAACCTTTCCTTTCCATGTGTACTTCATAAGGCACACAGCTTGCTAGCAGTACTTCCTGCCTGCTGTATGCTGTTTCTAACTACCGTAAGGGCTGATGGAAACATCTGGGCCAGAAAGGAAGTAGAGGAGCTGCTGGGACAGGCGGATCACAAGTTCACGCTCAGCCTGGGCAACTGAGCAACTTAACGTGCCTCTGTCACAAGGTAAAAGAAATCTTTAGAAAGGCTGGGGATGTAGCTCAGTGTGAGAGGACCCCGGATTCAACTCTCAGTACGGTGGAAAAAAACCTAAACCAAACCAAAACAAAACATCTGTGACAATGATGACCTCAGGCAAGTGAGTTCTCCAAACGGAATGTGATCTTTAATTCAGGATGGATACGATCATTCGTCCCATGAACTCCAGCTGTAAAAACTGACTAGGGAGGAGGTATAGCTGGACATAACATATATATTTTTGGTACTATAACCTTTATTGATTAAAGTTACTTCTATCAATACTATGCTACTAATATTATTATCGTATATTGTTATTAGTCATATATGTATTATATAATATACTTTTTACAACTGCTGCTCATCCCCTTCCTTTGCTATTACCATTTTCTGTGTATTAATATCAATGGGCCAGTTACATACAGAACATGTATTCACATAACCTTTTCAATAACTCTCTCAGGTAGGGATTATTTTAATTCTCTCTTTTACAGAAGGAAAAATTGAGGCATGGAGAGACAGTAACTCGTGCTCCGGAACATTGTTCATGATGGCAGCAGGACTATGACCCGTGTTTCCTATACACATTTAAAAACTTGCACTCTGCATCTGTGCATCTGTGCAAGTTAAGTCGAATAAAATGACCCGGAGTACTTTACAGAGACTTTCACACGCATGTAAAATAATGCTCCTTACTGTGCAGATGCTAGCACTTGTAATAACAATAGCATCACTTGGTTCTTGCTGGGTAATTCTTTTTTTTCTTCTTCTGCTTTGAAAGTCTCACAGGCGTGCTGATAAGTAGTTCCTACCATTATTCCTACATCATAGATGAAGTTGAGACATAGCGAAGTTACATAATTTACCCAAGGTCCCCTAGCACATAAAGGAAAACATACAGTGTTTTTTGATATGATGTTCAAAAGTTCTCTTAAGCATTTCAAAACTTCCAGCGTTTTCATCTCCAAAAGCACAGCTACTGACCAACCAGTAACTTCCCAGTATGGACAGGAACACAGGAGAGAAAGCGGGGAGCTACCTTGCTCTTGTACTTCTGATGCCCAAGCCGGAACTTCACGTAGGGATCGCTCAACCCATTGGAATCCATTGCTTTGAGGTCTCGCCCTTCGATCAAGGTGATGCTGACTATCCCTCTCCACAGATGTGATTTTCTGTGCTGGTCTGACAGACGCAAACTTTGGCTCTGAAACTTTTGGGAAAGAAAAAGTGAATTAGATTATTGTGTTTTATGTTTGTTGTTTTGTTTTTTGAGACAAGGTCTCACCATATATTTCAGATGTGGCTTGAGCTCACTAAGTAGCCCAGGCTGGCCCTGAACTTGCAGCAATTCTCCTGCCTCAGCCTCCTAAGTGCTGGGATTATAGGTGCATAGCATCACGCCTACCAAGTTATAGTATTGTGTTTTAAATCCAAATACCATATATCATTTGGCCTTATTCTTTTCCCTGTTAAATATTTTCTTAAAAACAGCCAGTTATTAATAAAAACAATTTATGTACTATTAACCAGTCATTAATTTCAAATTTATTAATAAATTATGAAATTATTCATGACAAATTTGTTATATAAAGGAAATGAGTGCTCAAATAAAGACAGTCTAGCTTTTAAACTTTTAAAATTATGAGCTGTAGATGCTGAGACAATTTTGGAGATTATTTGCATTTGTGTTAAAATATATATGGATAAAAGGAGTATTGTAAATATCAAAGATCACATCTACACTGTGGTATTTAATGTTTAATTATTTGTTGTCTTGAAAGACTTTTTTTTCATGTTACAAATGGAGTTTTATGGGGGAGGTTAGCTGCAAGATTGGTTGCAAGTTCTATCTAGTTATTTAAAAAAATTTTTGGCCACATTAGGAGATAGGTGAGTTTCAGCTCAATCAGGATTACTTAAAATATCACAGAACACAGAATGAAATCAATACGGCCTTCCAAGATATTCTGCTTATGCCTGAAACTTGCATCAAAAATATTTACAATTATTTTTTAAATTACATTTATAATTTATATAGGCAAATGTGCGTCCAGATTTATTTCTCATGCCAGTATTTTAACATTTTCTTTACTGATTCTTATTATGCCCAATTCTAAATCACAATATTCAAGCCAGTGAACAAAATCAGAAGTTTTTGAAATTATCAAGTCTACTACAAATGGCCATATAATTTCTTTTAGCTACATAACATATAAAACAAACTACAGAAAGTAGCTAAACATTAGAACAGTGTGAAGCTGGATGCAACACTAAGTAATATTATAAAGTTATTATTTCTTTTTAATTACCAAGTACATGTTTCTCATTGACATGTCATGAAGTCAACATTTGTCTCAAAGTTTTCTACTCCTTCCTTACCAACTAGCCCTACTGCCACCCCTCCCGTCTATGTTAATGTGATAGTATTCTATTTGCTACAGTTTTTGCTTCCATTTTGACTTCCTATGGTTTTTGCATGCAATAGCAATCCACCGCAGCCATTCTCAGACATCATCATCAAAAGTCCTGGGCTTTGATGAGGAACATAGAATCTACATTCTTTCAAAGACTTCCAGGACTTGACCATTTCAACACCCATCTTTCTAAATCACACTGCATATTTCCCTACCACATCGAACAGCAAATTTTGAACACAGCTGCCAGTTCTGCATTCTTGGTATCAATGCACTCCTCACCTCTGTGAGCCTCCAGGAAGTGTTCTGAAAGGTGACGGAGGGTTCAGGGAGCACCTGCAAATTATCCAAAACTTCCCTCGGCTCCCCCCGACCTACACATGTGAACTGGGTTTCCACACTGGGTCTTGTTTGAACAAAGGGGTTCTAAGATTAAAATACTTAGAATTTGTTGTAAGCAGTGATGGCTAAGGGTATCATCTATTTTTATTCTAAAAGCTCATGCTACTTGGAACTATGTAATGCAGCCGTAGAAGTTGGTGATCAACTGATGATTTAACCCACTTTTGCTGCTCAGTTTTTCAAAGATGACTCTGGAGAATCAGATTCTGAACTTTGGAACTGAAAATTTCATTAAAGAAGCTGAGTGGGAAAGTAGGAAGGAAGAAAAACAAATACAGTATTGGGGCAAGAAGAAATATTTATCTTATCACAGGCAAATTGCTTAGTTAGACGGAGCTTTTGATTTAGGCAGCGAATGCCATCTTCCACAAGTTTTCTAGAAGTCGTACGTGTCACTCAAGTGGCAGGTACAATCTAGAATGTACAACATTTTCAATAAAAAATGGTAAGTTGGTTTCTTTAACAGTAATATGTCTGAAACCCATACTTCCTCCCCATAACATAAGAATAAAGAGTAAGGGGTGGAAAAAATGCTCTCCATGGGATTTGTCATGCTTTCATAGAAATAGAAGGAATTCAACGGTCTTTGCCTTCTGCCATTAATTGTTAAGGAATTCTTTCTATGATCTTGAATGACATTTCTCAAACAACTCGGGAAGTAAAGGAGGGAGAGGAAGAAGAGTATTTCCTCATAGCATGATAAAATGTGGACATTAAGGTAACCTCTGCAAAGGGCTAAAAAGAAGGGAGAAGGTTTCTAAAAACACACTAATCATACACTTCTACAGTAATTTTTTTCTTCTTCAGTAACTTTGGTTCAAATTGGCACATTCCTAAAAGACACCTCATAACTCAGCCACAGGTTTTATTGAATAACTACATAATTGTGAGTAAATGCACAGCCATCCAACAGCTAGACGTTTAGTTTAAGCATGAAGAATAGAAAATTGACATAAAACTCTAAGATAAAGGTGGGAGATACAAAGTTAGGCTCCTTATATATACTAGGGAAAAAAAAGACGTTTAAATAATAGTTCTCCACAACCCTGGGAGAATTCAGCCAATTATGAATTGAAAATATTCGGGGGGAAAACTGAATCTGTACTGAACATGAGTAGACCTCCACACTTGTCCTTACTCCCTGAGCAATACAGTATCACAACTACTCACACAGCATTCGCACTGCATTAGGTGTCTGAGTAATACGGGGGATGTGTGCAGGTTATAGGCAAATATCGTACCATTTAACACAGGGACCTGAGCACCTGCAGATTCAGTAACCATGGAGTGGGAGGGCATCGAACCTGACCTCACGCTGCTGAAGGATGACGGTTCTCGAAACTGTCCAGTGAGTCCCATGTGATGTGGGCACAGGGCTCCCTCTCTGGGACTTGGTTTTCTTATTGTTCTTCAAACTTCTCCAGGTCTCCAAACGTACTAAGAACACTCTTCTGCGTGTGTGTATGGGGCTGTGTGTGGGACCCAGCAGGGGAAAAAGTATATTCCACAGACAGTGAAGACCTAGCTTGCCGAAGATGGCCACCATTCATTATTTTGACCTATTTTTAAATATTAAGGTTCTGCAGAGCTCACTGAAGGGATGGCAAAGAGTAGAATTGCACAGCTTTAAAAAAAACAAAACAAAAATCAAAACCTTTGCAAACCACTAACTTTGATGCTCTCCAAGGAACCTTCTGAGTCACTCTGCTCCATCTCAAACACCCCTTCCTCTGTATAGCAATCTTGGGAACGTGCGGTCCATAGACCAGAGGCATCGGTGCCACCTGGGAACTTGCCAGAAACTCAAGTTCTTTGGCTCCTTCTCAGCAGGACTGATCAGATGCTGGGGAGCGAGCCTCAGCTCTCCAGGAGATTCTGATGCAGGCTTCAGGGTGCAACACCTGGCTTTAAAGGTTATGCAGTGCATATGCAGTGGCCTTCCCTGTGTTCTATTACCTGCTGTCAATGTAACTGTAAATATCTTCCTCTCTCTGGCATGGAAGTTATTTATGCATTTTAAGTCTTTTTTTTTTTTAGTCCTGCTTTTAAATTTAATGATCAGGAGAGCAGATCAGTTTGGATATGTGGAGAATTTAAAGGGAGAAGTAGGAGTCTCCTGGAAAATTATGAAAAGTTTAATACCTCCCTTGAGTGATGTCTTTCTCTTAGTGTGTATCTAAATAACACATGTTTATTGTAGTATTAATAACTGGCCCAACAAAAGTCACTTGCTGAGCACCTAAAGAGAAAAGAGCAGCAAACAAATCCAGAGTTGCTGAATAAAGCTAGCACATTACAACTGGCACTCATTTATCTAAGTAATTTTCTTAGCTAAGTCCTTGTTGAACTAGAAAATTGTATTTGCAGGAGGAGGTTAAAAAAAAGGGAAGAATAAAAAAAAAAAATCTAACTCAGCTTCAAAGCAAAGAACCAAGAGCCCAAAGGGAAGAGTGAATCTCTGAACTCTTAGTTTCTTGAATTTTAGCAGCTGATTTGCTGAAATTTGTGGACTGACCCTTCCTCGATCACGCAGAGTAGTGTCACATTTTTATTCCAACGTGTCCTTGCATGATTCTTACACGCACCAAGCTATGAGGTCCACTCTCATCAGGAACATTCTCTAAGTTTAGAATTAATAAGGAACAGCAAGATCCTAGTGAACAGCATACATTTCAAAGTCTGAAGCAATTAGCCAATAATATTCATCTTTGGCAAGATTTTGGAAGTAGTTAGTCGGCACCGTAAGAGAGAATATTAGTGTATTTATATTATTTCTTGAGAAAGAAGTCAAGGTTCTGACTTTGCTTCATGTTATAAAATAGGTTCGGACAGGAAGTGCTTTTAAGTCAGCTCTAAGAATTCACAGCTCAGGCAAGCTCAGCAAAAACAGAGAAACTAAACGGTTGAACTTACTTGTGAATTTTGGCAATAAGGACTCTGAAGCGCTGCTCTGCAGAAACCCAGGACAGGAAGAGCAGGCCTGGCACACGTCTGGATGGAAATGAATGATCAGAGCCGTACAGGAGAACTACGTTCCACTCTCCACCCCTCATTCTGATTAGCATTTAGAATCACTTCTCAAGATTGTTTTGAAAATGTTATGCATTTGTGTCTCAAGTCGTTTTCAGAAAATGTGTTGCAATACAATGAAGATAAATGCTAACACAACTCTATAGTTTCCAGCCATTTTTTTTCTTAAAGTAAAATGATGCTGCAGTGGTCAAGATCATGCAGCCCAGAGAATATCTGGAGAGGGATCCTGGTTAAGTGGTTTCAGGTTTTGTTAGTAGATGTAACAGAGGATAGAAACAGCGAAAGAAATCACAAATCAAATAAAGAATAATTTTCCCAAGTCTGATAGTGCAAAATGTTTTGGAATTTTTTTTTCCAACATCAATACAGCAATGAAGCCAAGAAGAAAAAGTGTTACAGAGACAAGCATTAACGGTGGTCATGCTGACCTTCCAGCCCACAGGTAAATCTTCTGAACTGATTAAAGACGTATCTCCAGAGTGAAACAGAAGTTTTGTTGTTGCATGTAATATTTCCATTTGCTGTCTCAGCTATCAGAAAAAGTAACACAAAGATTTCTTCCCTACTAAAACCAGAGAGGCAAGAGGTAGGTTAAGGAGGACACAGCTGGACAAGAAACCCTGGAGAGAAATTAATGATGGTGGAGCTGAGAGTGTGGATTGAGGACTTGCCAAGCAGCTAGAGAAAGTTTCTGAACAACAGTGTCATGAAGAAATCGAAAGGCATTAACTTTAATGACATCGATGAGAAGGACTGAATTAGAGCAGTCTGAAAGAATGGTTCAATCACACAGAAAGAAACCTGTATTGAGCAGTGATTATATTCTGTAATTTTCATATTCTAATATTTTTCATGGAATTCTTCTCATTTTTAAGGCAAAGAAATGAGAAGCTAAATACCCGACTCAAAGCTAAATGCTTAGAGATAGGCAAGGCTGAGATTTAAATCTGTCACTGTTGATACTTAATCCATGATTCTGCACTATATCTTATGCTTTGGACATAGTCTGTGAAGTTTATGATACAAAAAAGGAATTAATTGGTACAGTTTTTTTTTTTCAAATTCCTTTACCTTTCATTTAGATGAAATATATCCTGATGATGGACTGTTGCCAAAGGCTAAGTAGGGGGTTAGAGGTTGATAATAATTCTGGAATGTGTTATTTAATAAAGCATATTTAACTGTACACTATCATAAAGTAACATCCAATGGCTATCATAAGGCTAAGGTAGAGAATCTAGCACTGATTGAGAAGACTTTTATATTCCCATTGTAGTTAATAAAGTATACTAGCTCCACTCTTTGGAAAACTGACCACTAATAATAGGATATATCCTATTAGTCTAGATCCTGATTTTAAAATAAATCAATAAAAAATCTATTTAGATAACATGTGACTAAGGGAACACAGTTATACCAATCCTCCTCCTGTTATGTACAAACGATCCTCGGCTTTTGTTATCCTGGATTTTATTACCTGTGTAAAACCTAATCCTTCCAAATGAGACCCATACACTATGGAGCTGGAGTGAAAGGCATTGCCTGTGTGTTCACAGTAAGTCACGTGTGGAGCTCTTTTCTCTGTTTGCAGTACAAAGGTGACACGTGCTTTTATTTAATCAAATGATCCACAGGCTTCTACAAAGAAAAAATAACGACAGCCTGGAATGACTGTTTTGTGCTGCCCAAACTGGAGTGCGGAACAATTACGAGCTCAATCCCAGGCACAGCCATCTTCTATCTTTTCCTTTTCCTACAGAGTTTGTTCCAGTGAATTGCCTCTGGATGATGAGGTCCAACCAGTAGATTTATTCTGCAGTCCTCGATCCTCTGAGAGGAGAATTGCCTTTACAGAAAGCCCTGCCAGTGCTTTGTGCGGCCTCCTGTGAAGTGTCTCCTCTAAAAATAGAGCTTCAATCCCCCTTTTCATAGAAGACCATTCACTGGCACTGTAATCCTTGGAGAAATTCTCCTGGTTTTTAATCCTTAAATTTTCTTCTGTATTTGGATGGCTTCTTGATACAATTTGTGGTGCCAGGAGGTTATTCATGTTTCCGTAAGATATTTGAACGCCGCTCTCTAACTTTAATTACAGTCAAACAAAAGTTCTTAAACTTCTACTGTACTTCACAGTACACTGCCTATATGAAGAGGAAATCAGCATATATATTGTAATCTTGTTAGATTGCTGAAACAATCTATAAATTTCTACCGCTGATGCAGGAAAGGAACAGTAGTTCTTGGTTTAACTTACAAAGCTCTTTTGTTGTCTTCTTTATTTTTTGGGAAATTTATAATTATATAATTAAAATTTACAAATATTTTGAGAGTCTTGTTTTCATACCTAAAAGTGAAGAAATCTGAACTTCTCTAGAGGGGTCAGCCACGTACAGTTGAGTAGTTCAGAATGTAAGCACTCCAGCACCAGAACACATTCTTGTTTTACAAAACTATACCTCTTCTTAGTTTATAGTCTTTCTCCAAACACACATCTGCAGAACTCTACAGTTAGATATGTTCTAACATAACTCCCCATTGTTCTGTATTTTTTATTGTAATCTCTTTGCCTGTTGTAACTTTTTCCTTCTTTATATGAGGTAATCCTGGCACATCCCAGCCTCTTCTATTTAAAAAATCTTAAAATTACTCTGTAATTCACTACAGTGTTCTTGCAAGCGGTACTGTTTAATGAACTCTTATCAGAGCCTAGATGGCCGGCCCATCAGTGGAGATAACTGGGAGGAAATATAAGCATACTAAATATTTGAGAGACCTGCTTTACGTAAACTTCCTTTAATGGGAAGTTAAAAGTCTGAAGTCAAATTAGTGACTTAATTAGAGTAATCCAATTTGGTTTTACATAATTTTTACTTTCACGAGAAACATGGTAATTGTCATATCCTCCCTTCAGTGTTTTGTGTTCTAAAATATGGTGTTTTAATGAATTATAAATGTTACACTTTTGGAAAAGAATATCCTTGTATTATGTTAGTATTTTCCTCCCATTATTTGGCTCTTAAGACAGTTAAGGTGTAGCAAGTGGTACTGATGTACTAGCTTAATATGTTCACACGGGGATTTAGTTTTACTCTGTATAACTTAGTTGCTATCTCTTGAACATATGCATTGATCCTCATAAGTTAAAATGATAAAAATTTCTTTCAAATAGTATCCTGTTTAACTTTCAAAATTTGGGCCAGGGATTAAGCTCAGTGGTTCGGTGGCCTGCCTTGCAAGCGCAAGGACCCGAGTTCGATCCCCGGTACTAAAAAAACAAAACAAAACAAACAAAAAAAACCAACTTCCAAACTTCATGTAAATTTTTGGTGCAAGATTTTAACTGCACTAATCAGGTTTTTTGAGTATCTGGAAATGTCCACAGGAATGTGCTTTTCATACACATTTTTGCTAAAAGTTCATTGGTTGAGCAACACTCCCTGAGTCCAGAGCCATGGGGACAGCTATCAGAGTGACCTTTGAATGTGAGATAACAGTCATCCTATGTAGAGTTGGCTACCGATTCTCTCATTTTGTAAATGAGACATCAAACACAGCACTTTCTCCAAGAAGGCACTTGTATTCATCGGCTTAAAGAGGAACCCTATGCTGTGAGTTCTTCAAAACATGTGTTTGTCTGGCATTCAGTGAGAGAAATACTGGTCCTGATCGTATCTGGCTGGCTCCTTGAGGGTTATAATCTCACTTCTCTGGGCCTTAGTTTCTTCACTGGTAAAATTAATCACTGTCACTCATTCACTGTATTCTGCAAGAAAGTGTGAATCTAGACTTTGGATATAGAGAGCTACCTTTTATATTTTACTCCTGCATGTTTCTTGTTTTAAAATCAGACAGCTTAAGAGCTTGACAAAAGGTTATTAAAGAATACTGAAGGACGAATTCACCTGTAAATGAAAGATTAATTTTGAAACAGCAAAGTAGAAAGATGTTGCCAGATCCCCTTGAAAGGGAAACCCTTACAAAAAGCATTATGTAGAGACAGGCCTGGTGACAAGTCTTCATTCATAGAGACTGGTTTGCACATTTGTTGCATGTAGAACAAAGAACACAAAAAACTCCAAAATTCTGGGTTAAGTAAATGTCTCCCATTAATTTACCATATTTGTTGGTCTTACAAGAACTTTTTTTTTTTTTTTTTTGCAAAAAGCTATTTTTAATTTAAGGCCATAGAAGAACTCAAAAGCAGTTAACCATATGTTCATAGACAATGCATGAACATCTAAAAGGGATCGTTATTATTTTAGCAAAGATGTAAAATAACTTCAGTGAAGGGAGCAAACTGAAAGGAAAAGAAGAGGCCGTAGTCACCATGGTCAGTAATACAAAGTCACAACAAAAGGCTGAAAAAACTCGCAGCAGGTGAGGACCAGTCGGTGTGTGACTTAATCTGGAACATGAAAACCTTAAAATCTTAACAACCTTAAAATCACAAAGGAGAAAAGTAGTTTTCCATTCTAAGCAGTTTCAGAGCCAAGAAAGGAAAACAGCAAAGGACTAAGAATACAGAAGTCACACTGCAGTATCTGTCGCAGTATCCAAGTGCCAAGTATGAATTTTCAAAGGAAGAGGGACACTTTTAAAAGTGAAGTATTAAGTGAATTAGTAATGAATTAAGCTGTGCACAGTTCAGAATTGTAGTGGAGAAAAAAAGTGGATGACAGAGCTCATGATACTTAACTCACTGAAGAGTCAATTCATTTGCAATGGCATTTAAAATAATCTGGAAATGTTATTTTTTTCTTGTTTGAATCAAAGGCAGAAATGATGTTTTCTAAATCAAATTTTCAAAGACAGAGCACTGAATATTGAGTACAGATTTAGCATACATGTGTAAGATCACTATAATAAAAGTAAATTTTTCTTAAACGAAACTAATCTCATTTCCAAGTGTAGAAGAAAGTCTTCATGGGCCCTAGAAAGTCACTGGGGCTTTAGCATTTCAGAATTTGGTATAAATTTGGTTCCACAAAGAACTGACTTCAAATAATATGTTTTTGAGAATATGAAGTTCTTAATGTTTTCAAATGAGGAAACAAAAGAGTAAGTTGCCTAGATGGCTTAATAAAGAAGACAAAAGAAGACATCTATCTTAGAATCTATTTTTGAAAAGTGAATTTCATAATTCACATTTAACTTTCAAAATTACTATTCAGAGCCTCAAATCAAGAATATTGATATAAACATTTAGACATTACCCTCCAAAAGAAAGACTTCACAGAGAAATAAGATCCAACCACTTCATTTTCTGAGAGTTCCTAAAAACAAACAAATATTTAGCTGAATATTGAGAAGTTTTTGAGAATATTTCACTGCTTTTCAAAATCAAAACAAATCAAAGTAAGGCTAACTACATATAAAAAAGATGTATATTTGAATATTTAGAAACAAGTTTTCTTCCTATGCATATATGGAAGTTTTTCATTTTATTCATCTATGACATCAGAGGTAATGAAATTTAGAGAGAATTATTTATGCACATTGTAGAGAGTTCACTTACCTCTTTATTCATAATTATTTCATTAATATATTTTGAGTCTGGTGTTTCATTACAGAAGTAGAACTGTTTAAACATATTTTAATGTTTTGAAATAAAGCAGATAATATCTGTTCCTTTAGGAAAACAATAATGTTAACTATAGACCTCCAGAACATTTAAAAAAACTGAGAGCAAAAATTTTACTTGAAACATATACTGTGCTCAATTTCAGTATAAAAAATTTCCTAATTTTATGATATAGTATACATGACTTCATTGACTTAAGTAACTTTAAAAGAACTATATATTGAGAAAAGATAGGCTATTGGGTTAAAAACAGAACGATGGATTCAAATTGTATATTTTGTTACTTAGCCCTTAGATCTTGAGAAATTAAAACCAAAACACGCTGTCTTTAAAGCTGTGCATTCTGTCTTGGATGTGAGTCATGATAAAGATACGACAAACTGATGACAGGGAGGGGAGAGTGCCTGCCTTTCATACCAAGTTGAGGAGGAAGAGCCCTTGATCAATCCAGGGTTTTGTGCCAGCAACTACGACTGTAGTGGTCCCATAGCACTTCCCTCTGTCAGAGGCACAGTGATGCTCAGTGAACACTGGCTGATTGGCTGTTAGTCACTTAGGGTCACATTCAGCTAAGGAAGGGCACATCTACACTCCAAACATGAACCAAAAATCATATTAGAGAATGATACTGAACTAAAATACTCTTAAGCTATTCAGCAATTTGAATAATTTAAGATCAGACCTCAAATTAACTCAGAGATTTTCTGTGCAACCTGCTTGCGTTTTCCAAATCTTTTTTAAAAGATGAAACTATTCACATTTTTTCCAAGTTGCTTGCTCAAGGTTTGGTCAGGTAGGTTACTTACGTCAGAGGTTTAGGGAAAGAGTCCTGCATTTGAGACAGTGTTTTACCATCACTGCAAAGTCATGATTCATTGACATCTACACCTGTGGTTTTCACCTGAGGTGCTTGACAAATTGTCGCATCAGATGCTAACCAACAGCAAAAGCCCTTAAAAAGTACTGATACACATTTAGGGGCATAAACCTTAGAATGACTGTAGTCTATTTTTAACCGAAAGAACCATGTAACATGATGCGGAACAACATGTGGCAAAATATTTTTAAATATCCTATTTAACATGTTAGTTCTTAGAGTCTCCTTATATAAATAATTTCTATATAACTTGAGCCATTAACACAAGTTATATGTCTGAGGAAGTTTTATCTTAATATAAAATATCTTAAGGCATCTGTAATGGAAATGGAAGCTTCAGCTCCAGACTCACAACAGAACAAATATTAAAAATAGTATTAATTCATTTAGTTTCAGATGGTCTAAGGTCATTAATATCAAAGCTACGTTAACATTGTATTTGCCAATTCTCCTCAGATAAAAACAGAGTGGACTCAACCTGTGTGTCTCGTAAGCAAAGAGAAAAAAAGGCTCAGGAATTTGGAGGTTGGGGTGAAAATGATAATGGTCAAGATTTAGGATTCAGTCTTCTCTGTAAAAATTTGAGAAATAAAAATAGTAGTCACATTTGGATCCACTGATGTCCCTGAGCTGTAATTTTTGTGCCATGTTTAATTACTTTTGTCATTCACTAAGTACAATTTATATTTCATTTTACAACTTGCATTCTCATGTAAACGTAGGCTCTTATTTTAAATGAAGCAAACTTTCTTGTCTACTCTGCTGCCATTTACTGTTCCATAGAGGCAGGAATTTTGCCACAGGCCATTTGAGGCTTTCCTTTCACTACAGTTTCTAATGAAAACAACAGGGAAGCAGCAATAATAATAATAACACATGAGGTATTCTAAACAAAAGTGGTGACTTTAACATGAAGTGCAAGAAAAGAAGCGTAACTCTCATGGACTCCAGAGCAGGTTTGGGCTAAATCCTAACTGTATATAGTGGGTTATACTTCAGTCTCCATCAAAGCCAAATACTGATAAGTAAGAGAAAATGCCACTTTAAAAGTGCTAAAATTACAAGGTGACACCAACAGAAAACAAAATAAAAATACAGAGACATCAATTTAATGCTAAAATTACTCTGGCTGATAAATGGTTTCTACTAAGGTTTCTAATTTATTAATATAATGTCCATTGGCTGAATCTTATTTAAAACTATTTTTGCCTCCAAAAGTATAACATATTCTAAGAAAATTTGTTCTCAAGGAAAAAGAATCTAATTATAAATCCAAAAATTAATCAGATTTTATTCTGACAAATAAATTGTTGAATTCTTTTTACTAAGGTTTCTAATTTATTAAAATACTAAGAGCCATTGGCTATATCTTCTTTATATCTATTTTTGCTTCCAGAAATACAATAGGTCCTAAGAAAAACTCCCCTCAAAGAATCTACCCATAAATCTAAAAATTAATCATATTTAAATTTAAAAATCTAGCAGATAATATATTTTTTCCTCAGGAAATAAGACTAAAAGGCAGGTTTTTTTCTAACAAGTAAATATGATAGCATATCATATAAACCACAGAAATCTCCTACAATGTTGTTAGCAGATAAAGATTAGTCAGTAAACTTTTATCAAAAGTGATATTTTATTATTTTTAAATTTTATTTTATTTTACTTTTTTGGAACCGGGGATTGAACTGGGGTCCTTGTGCTTCCAAGGCAGGCCACCGAACCACTGAGCTAAATCCCCAACCCCCAAAAATGATATTTTAAAAATAGCCACAATGTATGTATACAGAGCTTGAAGCATAATATGGAGTCAGCCAAAAGAATATACACACTTCAGGAAAAGAAAAACTTGCATGAATACTTTGATACTAAGTTTACTGAGATATCATGAGATTAATACAAGTTACCTTCGACCCCTACAATTACAAGAGGTGCTCAAAGTTAGCTTCCAGACATTTATTAGTATGATGAAGTGCTGAAATGTGTATACATACTTTTTGGCAGCTTCTTTATATAACTCTTCAAGACTCAAAAAAGAGTCAGGCCAGATGGTATTCCTATTTATATTAGCAGGCTTTTCTATGAACACAATTTCCTTTTATCACTGCCATTTTGTACACTTAAGAGATGGTGAAGTGCACAAGTAAATAATTTACATAACTTTTCTGGTCAGACTGTGATCTCTGTTCATCAAAGCCAAGACTCTTCATGCTTCCATCCTCCTTAATAACAATGACCTAAGATAGTGACTGAGCCTATGTGTAGCTATGACAACCGGGTTTTTGGTAAGAGTCTTCACAAAATTATGAATTGCTGTCATCATGAACATCTGAAGTACATTAAAACTAGTAAGTCTCCTCCTAGTTGTATTCAATTGAACATCTACCTATCAATCATCTATCTTTTGAATTAAAAGGCCATGGAAACCAGTTCCATTATCCTGTAGCCCATTACATTAGCTCAGGAAAGATCTTGGAAAACTGGTTGGCTTCCTTGGTAACAAAAACACCAGAGCTCTGAAGGCTGATCAACAGTCACATAATAAATATCACAGACATTGAATTCAGCTGCTATGTAATCTGTTTCAGACTCCATTCTGTTCTTTCACTTTATTGTCAACTTATCCACATTTGCCCCTAGAAGGACCCCCAACATTTACAACATTAAACAAGAGTAGTTGTCAAATAAATGTGATGCTACTGTTATAGCAAATCCCTGTAGTTATGAATTTACAATGTGTAAAAATGTAATTTTATGCTTCGGGGGAAATATTGTTAAAACAGGAAGAAAAATAATCTCAATGGAAAATTTAACTATAGTCTATGAACTCTGTGGGATAATCAAATATTCACTGGCATGATGATAGTACCTCTGTTTTAAATAAATTTTCTACAACTTTCAGGAGTTCAGTTCACTGGGATCAAAGTACACACCTTTATAATAGAACTGTGCATTCCCGTTTCACCTTTGTTCATGATTGCATTTTGGAATTTCAATTATGAGCACGATTTGATAGTATTTCCAAATAACACAGACTTGGTTGGAAGATAATGGCAAAGTAAGGATTTTTGGATAGCATTTCATGTTTTCTTCAAAAATGTGTAAGCAAATCACTGTTTCATGGACAAGTTCATAATCATCAGAAATGGACATACCAAAGAAAAGCCATTTTGGTCACTCAGAGTTGAAAAAGTCTATTTACTACTGAACTTTGCATTTGGGCAGCTCTTTACAAACCACCAACTTATCAGGAATTTGAGTCTATGTAAAAGGATCTGATAATCGTTAAATATCTTTTTTTTAATCATGTCTGACTGTATGAGACACTTAAAATGTGTTAATCTGTTTCTCCCCTTTACTTAAATTGTAGCACTTACAAGTTTCCACGAATGCATTTTTTAATGTGTCATCCAAGGTGTCAGGTTTAACTATGCCCTGTAGACTTAGAGCTGAGTGTTCTCTGGTTTAACTTAACAATATCTCTGCCAAAAGTCTTATTAAAAATCGCTTCATTCAACCAATGGATAAAGTGTTTTATAGTTCATTAAAATTATGCTGTGATTATAATAAAATCTTTATAAAAAGATGTATTACTAAAAAAAAAAGCCTAACCCATCATATAACAGGAGATATGGTAATTGAGACACCATCACAATTGTCTAGATTATACTATTCAAAGGGTGAACTTTCCTTAAACAAAACAATTCTTAGCTGTTATTGTCAAGGATACGAATTGGAATGTGCTTATCTTCACATCATCATAATAGTATATCCCACATGAAAGAAAATTTATTGAAAATATACAAGTTTATTAT